TATATATACATATATACACACACACACATATATATATATATATATATATATATATAAGAACATGCTCTTAATTTTCAAGAAAAAATGCAAAAAATAAAAAAGAGGCGAGGAGACAGGACAAGAAAAAAAAAAACATGCGCAAATCACAATTTATAAATTTGCATATTATTTTGTGGTCAGGCTAATCTGACAGCGTCTACATCAACAGCAGACATTCACCCAGCGGCATAAAATGTTTAGAAAAAGGACAAACTGTCTCTGATTGGATCATTTCATACAGACTAAACGAGAGCAAGAGGCCTCATGTTGGTGTTCATTAATAAAGTAGCTCTTCATATGAATCAGTTTAATTTTTTCTTAAATTCTGTTTTGTTTAACCAAATTCATTTTTTTCCATTCAATTTTTTTTTATTTGGTTTTAATGGTTAAACTAAATGTTAATAAAAAAGCATGTCTAAATAACAGAAATCATGAAATGTACACAATTTAACAATTTATTAAAAGTTGAACCAAAATGACATTCTATGGCCCTATGAATTCAGTTTTATTTTTTGCCCAATTATTTTTATTTTAATTTTTTTCATTTTTCTGGACTACATTTTAATAGTTAAATTAAATTTTGGTAATCAAAAAGCATGTTTAATTAAATGAAATCATGAAATGTATATACTTTCACGTGAAATCTTTTTAAGTTGTTCTAAAATTCCATGTTTGCTGTTTTAAATTTTAATTGATTCCATTTTTTAAATGGTTTAATTACATTTTAATAATCAAAAAGTATGTATATCAATTGAATTCAATAAAACTTCAAAATAAAAAAAATTGTATATAGATATATTCATTTTTTCGGTTTCGTTTTTTTTCTGGATTTATGATTTAATACAAATTTATTAGTGGTGATAATCAAATGAAGTGAATGTAATCAAGTGAATACTTAACCTTTTTTAGCAAACAAAGTGCTGCATAACAACACAAAAGAAATTGTGTTACATTTCTTTAAAAAGTTGTACTGTTTTATTATTATAATTAGTATTAGAATTACTATAAATTATTACTACTACTACTACTACTACTACTACTACTACTACTACATTTCACTGTAGAACAGCAAAATATTTCTGTCACAAGATATTTCTTCAAGTTAAACGGAACTTTTAGTCTGATGGACTGGATTGGGTGATTGTGTGTTTCTTACCGCTCTTGCTGTGTGTTGTTGTCGGTGAGGTTTCTGGGTTTGCTGCAGCTCTTATGGAGGTCTGACTGGAGGTCGGGGAAACCAGCCTCTCCGCTGACTCCATATCTGACAAACAACATGAGCAACAATCAGTACAATCACCAGAATCACACAAACATTATCCGTTTAGCCTAATCGAATCCATCTCTATTCATTCAAATAAGAAAACATCTTTCTTAAAAGAAAATCAATCCTTTTCCTCTTTTTGCATTGTGACAATGCCAAAAAACAAAAACAAAGAAATATGATTTTATACATCATGATGGTTTTTGATTTACACTTTTAAATTTATTGTTTTTAATTAAATACACAATTTATTGCTTCTGAAATTAAAACATGCTTTACTTTTACAAAACAAATATATGATGTAAGTTTTCAAATATTTATACATCATAGTGGTTTTTGTTTAACAATTTAAAAATTATTCTACATATAGGTTATAAGACGCTGTAATGCAAAAAAAAAAAAAGGATATGATTAAAATGTAAAATAAATAAATGTGTTTAAAATATATACTACAGATTTTTCTTTAACGCTATGGCCATAATGTCATTTAACAAAGCTTCTTCAATATTGAGAACAGGAGAGAAAAAAAAGAAAAGCATGAAAAACTCACAGTAAGTGTTTAATTCTTGTAGCAGCGCACAGAGATGCATCTCCCACAGAATGCAAATGTCAGCATCATTATCGCTTCGAGTGCATCTGCATTAAAGCAAATCACACCGACTGACAAGCAAAATAATTTGTGATTTTTCACGGACTGCAAAAGAAAAGTGATTACGGGTCTTCTGTGGGCGGCGCTGACACACACAAATAAAAAAAGACTCCATCTAAACGATCTAATGAAATTTGCATGCATATTTAAAACCAATCTTATTTACCATAATGCTTTTTCTTCCTCAGTGAAATCTTAAACATGATTTCCTTTTGAGCCAATTTATATCTCATCCTTTATTCGAAAGAAAACTGAACACAGCAAATAAGATCAAAAGTTGTGTTCACATTTCACTGAACTAAGATATAAGAAATAATTTTTTAAAAAGTACAAACAGAGATAATGATGTTTCCATTTTTAATTAGCTAATTATTTGGTGTGCATGGGTAAATTAACTTAACTTTTTTTTTTTTGCATAATTACTCAGTTTTTATATGTTATGCATATTATGTCTTTGCAGTCTAATGATTAGATACTAATGTATTAAAAGCAAAAATAAAATGACAAAACATACGCATAAATACGAAAACAAATCATTTTCACATTTCAACAGGCTCACATTGCACAGGTAAATTAACCATTTATTTTTTAATTTTATTATGTTTTTTTTTGCATAATTACTCCATTTTTTTTACTTGTCATGCATATTACATCTTTATATTCTAATGATTAGATGCATTTAAAACAAAAATAAAATGACAAAATATGCATACATTTCTTGAATATATGCAAAAATCAGTATCAGTCATTAAAACGATAACAGTAAATTTCTAGTAATAATAACAACGAGATATTATACTACAAACAAAAAGGTGGCTTCACTGCAAATGAACAACAGAGAGATGTCCTGTTCATTTAAATTGACGACAGCTTTAATGAGCAGGAACCGCTGAATTAATCTGACATGGAGTGCAGCAGATATTGACACACAGCTGATGAAGCACACGCTGCTAGTGAAGAACAAAACATAATAGAGTCAAAGTGATGGACGAGAAAACATCCAGAGCAAATGTGTGGCTTGAGTGACCGGCAGCTGCTTGTGTTTGTTGCACTGCTCAAAATGTCACTGATCACTGAAATGCCACTGGATGAACTCACAAAAACATGTCCATATTTCACCCCAAAATCAAAAGAAAGAAAATCTATTTTGTTTAATGTAAATTAAGCCAGTTTCAAGATAATTAAAATTGTTTTGCATTGTGACAGTATTTCCATGACAATTAATTGTAATAAATACATATATTATCGGTGATTCATGTTAGATTTTTAAATACATTTTTTATTTGATTAAATATATTTTTACATGATCTTTTTTAATATATTTTTTTTATGAAAACATGTTCGGCATGATCACAAACTCTAGAACACCCTGAACCTGTAAAGAGACAACAACAAACGAGTTAAAAGAGGCTTCTCTATTCTCATCACATCTCGCTGCAGGATCAAAGCACAGCTCGGTCGAGGCACACAGACAGATGAGAGGAGACGGAATAAAGAAGAGAGGAGACGGAATAAAGAAGAGCAGTGACTCGGATAGCCGAGGTCAGGCCGCGCTCTTTACGCATGCACGTCTCTGACACTTCCTGCTGGCTTTTACATCAAGTCTGAGGAAAACAGGAAGTAAAGAGAGCAAATAACACGCAGTGTTCGAAGAACCAACCCAGCCATAAAGCTAAACCACTACAATTCACAAGAAAGCCTGGAGATATCCAATCAAAAACAGACACAGATCATCTGAGACTGCAGGGTACACTCTTAAAAATAAAGGTGCTTCACGATGCCATAGAAGAACCTTTTTGTCTAAAAGGTTCAATAAAGAACCTTTAACATCTGAAGAACCTTTCTGTTTCACAAAAGGTTCTTTGTGGCGAAAGAAGGTTCTTCAGATTATAAAAAGGTAAGAAAGAGATGGTTCTTTAAAGAACCTTTGACTGAATGGTTCTTTGTGGAACCAAAAATGGTTCTTCTATGGCATCGCTTGAAGAACCTTTTGAAGCACCTTTATTTTTAAGAGTGTAGGGCTGTGCAAAAAATCAATTAGTAGTAAATCTCCAACATGTGCTTTTCAAATGGAGCGGCATTTACTACACAGAGCCGTAGTTCACTGACAAGCTACACAAAATCACGTTCAAAATCGCAGGCGATTCATTGCCGATTATGAACGTGATTTTGTGTAGCTTGTCAGTGAACTACGGCTCTGTGTAGTAAATGCCGCTCCATCTGAACAGCCCTAGATGTAAGTATAT